ACCCAATATATATATATATATATATGTAATCATTGATTGAGATACATATACATACATGTCCTTCTTCGTCCACAATCCTTCGAAAGGATGTGGTGACTTCTATCATATGCCTATAATGCGCATGCTGATTGTACACAGATTGTATATAAGGAACCTATAGTTTAACATCGATTCCGAGCGATTTTGTTTATAGAAGTGTACATGGTAAGGATACTTTCAGTGGTTTGCCATTATCTGCCGAGAGGAGCTACGAGCATACAAAAAATTTTTCGATTCTGCCTGGGATCGAACCCAGGATCTCTGGCATAGCAGTCTCGTACGCTGCCAGCTACGCCACGTTCGCATTCATATATATATATATATTAATAATATATATATATATATTAATAATTATACTAATCTAAAAAAAAAAATTATCCTGAATTAGATCAAAGATCTTTAAAAATATGTTACACTATTGAATCTCCCCTCTTCCTCTCCCTTCTCTGCCCTTTCTCTCCCTCCCACCCTCTTCTCTCTCTTCAGAAATGAATCACAGCATAACAAAATGTTAAAAAGATGTGATAAATTGTTTAAATTGTTTATTAAAGTAATGTGTTGTGTCTTGCAGACATTGTATTTAATATTCAAGAACATTGATTTCAATATTTATTCAATATTTATTCAATATATAAATTTTCAAAAATGTTATTTCCTGTGATTTAATTTATATATAAAAAAACTAAACTTACAAATATAATAATGAAAAAATATGTGGGCAATGAGAGCGTCAAATAGCGCAGAAATTGGTGCGCAATTATAACAAGAATTTTAACTAATTTACATAATATATTGTACCAAAATTTCCTTGAATGTTTCGGTTTGCTTCAAACTATCTTCAGCAAGTTGTGAACAATTTCGTCGATGATATTTTTTATAAGACATCAATGAAATTGTTCAAAAAAAGAGTACAATGAATGAAACGTACAAGGAAATTTTTGTATCCATGAAGAAGCAAATGCGATCAGAGATAAAAATTGAAAGTTTCAGTCAAATTGCTTGTATTATATACAATATAATCAGTAATTAAAATACAATAAAATTGTTTCTTGCGAATTAAATTGACTTATTATTTCAATTATTGATTATATCCTGGTTTATCAATCACAATTGAGAATGTGTGCTGGTACATTTTTATTTAATGACTCATCATGTGTGTTCCATAGTTTTTATCATTACTTATTGCGACTTATACAGGAAGAATATAACCGATAATATTATCAGAACAAAAAGCATTGTTTGTGCGGAAGATAGAGAATAATACTACAATTTTTTGCGTAACTATAAATTGTATAATTTTAATTGTATAATTTTATAGTTTTATTAATATTATCAAATTTAATTTCTTTACACTGAGAATGATCTAATAATAAGGTTGAAACGTATGTTCTAAGAATTTGAAATACATAAAAATCTGGCTTGTAGCTCCTTCTTGTTATTTATGTTTATATTGTCTTATTATATTGTTTATTATTGAGCTATTATAAGATTAGTTTTATTTAATTCTTTTCTTCAAATTTAATTTTTTTTTTCTAAAATAAACAGTATGAAAATTACCCTTTTAAATATTTTTAATGTTTTCACATTACTATTATTACATTTCTATTACACTAAAAACTAATTTTACAAAAAAAAGAGAGATGTATGAATATGGACATACTTCATAGATGATTATGTTTACGAACATTTATGTTTATATAGTTTATATTGTATATATTTATACACATTCATGCATAAAAAATTTTTTACCGAGATGTCGTTTACTTTTCATGAAAATCACAAATAAAAACTGGAAATAAATACAACAAAGATATGAATACTAACATTTATTCTGGGTAATGTACATTTCATACCACTTTTCCTTCGATTGTTTGTCCTCCTTATCGTTTCTTCTTTTCCTCTTTTTTGCTTTTCTTTTCCTTTCTTTCCTTTTCATTTCTTTCCATTCAATAAAAATTATTATTAAAAATATAATACAACACAAAAATACTAATACGAACACTAATATTTTACTGTATATGCTGTATTGTGCTTCTTTTCATTCATTTTTTTTCCTTTTTTTACTTATCTTCACTTTTTTTTTCTTTTTTTTCGATTCCTTTTTCTTCTTTTATGTGTTCTCCTTTTTATGAATTCTTTCCTTTTCATAAAAGCTAATAATAATAATAAAGCTAATAATAATAATAATAAAGCTAATAATAATAACTAAGAATAAAATAATACAAAGATAATACTGAGATAAATATTATCATTTTTAAATATTATATAACATTATATAACATTATATATCATTATATAACATTATTTCCTTTCACAGCTTTTTTTCTTCTTTTTTTGCTCTTCTTTTTCTATTTTCTTTCGTTTTTTTTAAATCTCTTTTTTTATGAGTTCTTTTTTTCTTTTCTTTCCTTTTCTTTTTCCATTTCAATTTTTTCATTTCCATGAATTCTTTATACATGCAATTATAATTTAAATACTAATATTTTGTTCCACATAACATTATCCTTCTTTTCAGATTTCTTTTTTTTTCTTTCTTTTCAACCTTCTTTTTTCTATGAATCCTTTCTTTCCAAAGTTAATAACAACTGAGAATAAATGACTATTCATAGATATTATGTATATATAGATATATAGAAATCTGGATAAACTTAGAAATCTATCACAGCTTTTTAAATTTTTATATACATATTATGTTTCCTTTCATATCTCTTTTCCTTCATTGTCCTTTTTTCCTTTTTCTCTTCTTTTCTTTTTCCTTGTTTTTCCTTTCTCCTTTCTTTTCTCTTCCTTTTTTTTCTATGAATTTTTTTCTTTTCTTTTTTTACATTTTTTGAGACCATTCCTTTTCTATTTCTTCATCTTTTCCTTTCTTTTTGGTCCTTTCTTCTTTGTAAGATCTTTCCTTTTCATGAAAATCACTAATAATAAAATCACTAATAAAAATAAAATATAACTCCAAGATATTCACATAAATATAAATATTTTGCTTCATATAACGTTATGTTTTTTTTCATATCTCTTTTTCTTCATTTTTGTTTTTCCTTTTTTCCTTTCTGTCCTTCTTCTTTTCTTTTTTTCTTCAGACTGAATTATCAATTTAAATAAAACACATAACTGTTTAAAAAAAGAAATGTGTATGCAAAATTGGAAACAAAGAATAATATTCTCCATTTTTATATTAAACAAAGAGAGTACAAGTAAGAAAGAATACATAAAAATAATAAAATAAAAATAAAGAAATAAAGTATAAAATAAATTAATTACAAGTAAAGAAACTCATACAATTCTCTCTCCCTCTCCCCCTCTTTCTCTCTTCGCCTTTTTCTCATTTTTTCTCTCTCTTGGTTTTTGTCTCTCCTCTCATCTTTCACCGCTCTCTCATCTCACCTTTTAACTCTTCCGTCTTTTCTATCTCCTTTTTGTCTCACTTTCATCATCATCATCATCATCATCTCTCTCTCTCTCTCTCTCTCTCTCTCTCTCTCTCTCTCTC